TTGAACCTACATGGCAGCCGATTTCAGATCTGGGGCTTCGTGGATTCCCAAGTTATTGTAGTTTTACTTCCATAGCTCCACTTTTGATTTATTCGGAAGGTTACATCCAAAGCAGATTTAATCGAAAAATTTTCAATGTTAAAGCACACTATTTTGTGCAGCTTGGCATTCATGGTACTGTGTTGCAGCTATTACTTCTTGCGTTCCATGAAAGTGCGCATTCCTCGAGGCGTTGCAATGTTTATTACATCGCTACAGATTCTCCAGTTTGTACTGAGTGTCTCAATACTCGCGCATCTTGGAATATTGATTTATATACAAAAGGTATATTTAATGTTCGTTCATTTGGGTTGTTTCAGCATGCGACCAGTTTTAGGCGTCAAATTTCCTATAAGAGAACTTACTGATTCTGTCACATTTCAAAATCACAGTTCCTGGCTAGTTATCGCAGCATTCCCTCACCGTTCCGGTTAATTCTTCATTCCTAACCAGCTAAATGTCTGTCGTTTTCGGATATCATTCTGAAACTGAATGAACTGCTATATTCTAAAACTGTCAGCAAAGACAGTGCATTTCAGTTGAAATGTGTTTGCTTAGTCGCAGATTCCTCAACAGCTTAGCAGTTGCCTGCATATGTCATTTTGTAGACATGATGAGCTAGAACCGCAGAGCTTGGCAGTGTAAATAGTTTGCGTGGGCGAAATTGTTTGTTGTCGGGAGACCAAAATCCACAGTAAATCGGCGTAATTACCTTACCGCACTGTAAAAGTGGAACGATCTGGTCACATGTTTCATATTTGGCGAATTCTAGCGAATTGAGAAGCAACATACTGAAAATAAATAGGTGGCTGGGTAGAGCAGAACGTGCTTGAGGGGTAGGCTTCTTTTTCCGGAATCAGAACTCGCTGTGCTTCTAGAAGGGAAATGAGAACCGCATAGCTGTGGAATTTGTTAAGGGCGTAACTTGCCACTGTATTCCGATGAGGTCAAGTGTTCAGGAAATGTTATTAGCCGTGATTGACTGCGAATCAGCAGAACAGGTGCACTTCCTAGATTGCAACCTCATAATCTGTGGTTTTGTGAGGTTGAAGCTGCTATATTGTGATTGAAACCTGCATGTTTGTTTAGGAAGATTGCGATTTCGACGACAATATTTTCAAACTGGCACTTTTCATGGATTTAACATACTTGATTCTTTTTATTAACTTCTTCTGCAAAGCTTATTTGTTTGGTGGCGGTAAGGCAAAATACAAGCAACACTAAAGAACAAGTCATGTGTAATGGAACGCATTCGTTTGCTGGCTGCTGCGCGGTAAAGTGTTAAATGCTGATCATTTTTGAAGAGGGTGCTTGGCGTGTTTTTATTTCGTTTACCTGCCAAGTACGCTCGTTCTTAGTATCCGTTTCGAATCAGCGTTTGCTTTCGATATTAGCTGGTGAAAGTAAGTTTTCCTGTCTCGTCATTTCTCTTATATCCTAGGAGCATCACTTGTTCAAATTGTCACCTAATCAGTATTGTTTAGTTCTGCAATAAACTGCCTGCACCTTTTGTTGAGTTGCGTTTTCGTCTGTCCACGTAAATGGTAAAACAGTCATCTTTCTGAGGCGTTTACACCACAAGTTTTATTGTCCAGATATAAAAATCGAGCAGTGCAGACTGGATTTGTACAAAGGGAGAAGCCGTGGAGTGGTATAAAATTGCATTTGGAAATTGTGAAGCTGCTCAGCATGACTGACGCGCAAGTTAGTGTTCTAGATTCTGTGGCTGAGCATCTTTAGTGCTTGCTCATAATTGGGCAGGGACAGGTTGTTGTTCCCGTTTGCTGATAATGCTGTATCATTCAGGGCAGACACGTTTTCCTTCGCATTTTCTTGCACCTGTAATAAGGACGAGTTATTTGATGTGTGCACAAATCTGCTGTATTATTGTCTTGCAAAAGACTGCTTGCTGTCCGTGTCTTGGCCTAAAACTTGCTCAGAAGAGGTGTACGGCATCGTAGTTGACAGCGAAAAATGAAAAAAAAAGGTGAATTTGGGGACGGGTACTCCTTTACTGGTTAAATTTTTGATGAACGGCAACGGGGCACACCTTTTTACTCCGCACCGCCCTCCCCAGCCCCCCCCCCCCCCCCCCCCCCCCCCCCCCCCCCCC